ACCAAGTACGTTTTTACTTGCTTATTCGAGGTCAGTCAGCTATGTACGCCCATGAATGATGCTGAAATGGACACCACTGTCACACCAACGCGCGCACACACAAACACACAAACATACACACACACACACACACAAAATAAAACAAAGTCTCTCCTTTTTGAGCCAGATGTGGCGCTTTTTTAGCCAGACTGCCTCAAGTTGAGTCCTTAGAACCCGGATGGCTTCTACTTTTTGTGACAGGTTGTCGGCCATGCACATTTTTTTGACCCAAGAATGGTACGACTTGGGCTCGACTTGCATGTACTTGCCCCCCAATACGAAACTTTGCCATGGAGAACGGCAGTCGCTGATGGCTGGCTGCACCTTGCTCATAATCGTCTTTGCTCGTAACTTGCGCCCGTTGCCAAGACACTCAACCAGCCTCTCGGCAGTCGGTGAAACCTCTGGAAAAGTACGAAGCCACCAGGGGGAACGTTTGGAGCGTGGCGCGCCAAGATGCTCTCTACCTACGCACAGATGGTATTAGTAAACAGTGGTGGTGTCTTTTTATGCAGAGTGAAGCCGTGTCACAACCAGCCGTACAAAGTACACCAGGCTTGATGGATTCTTGCCCAAGTCTATGTTGGCAGGAACTTGACTATATCGAAGCATAGGCCAACCGTCGAACCGTGCAGCCGCCCAACACACCTTTTACCATAGCTCGAGGCTATCATTTATAAAATCTCTTTGCTTTCCCTGTCCCTTTTTTTTTCCCTTTTTTTCCCCAGCATTTTTCTCTTATTCCACAAGTCGGAATGTTATTCCATTTCACCAATTCTCTCGTATTTCTACCTGGCAATGACACTTGCTAGGGAGACTTGCATTGCTAGCCTGCATGAGTATCCGAACCAATAACTAGTTACCAGTATGGCTCTCCCCCGTAAACTAAGTAATAGCGCGCGGAAATGGTCCGCTGTCCTTATGCAGGGTCTTGAATGTGATTTCCTCTTGTGCTCCTTTCTGCTTTTCATGGTTTGCCGAGCACGCTTCGCTTAACTGTCTTGAAAGATGTGAAACGGACTGGCTACACTTAGTGAGAATCTGGGTATTCTAGTGTGATAAAAAGGCAGCAAGACAATCCGAGTGAGGAAGCAGAGTAATGCAACCATTTTAGCGTGCCCTCTCCCTCCCAGTGAAACCTCTTTCTAGGCCAACACTAATGCCCTGACCATGTGGTGTTGTGTGCTCTTCAAGATGGCAAAAAAAGAAAAAAAAAAAAGAGAAAAAAAAGGCACAGGTAGTTGATGTACTCTGTACAACTTAAATACAGAGCGTGTCTCCATTACTGGTAGGTTACTTGTGTACCAGTACGGGGTACGGATAGATGGATCGGATTCTCGGGTCTGCGGGGCCGACCACCAAAGAAATAGAGGCTGTCAAGGCGAGGCTGCCAGTAAATAAGGAGCTTGAGGAGCAAGCCTCCTGGTATTAGCTGCACGGCTGTGAGCGGTCAAGACGATTTACCGTGATTGCCGCAGAGACGGAAGGGGTAAACTTGGTACGAGGCTGGGGGGCGTATAAAACTTCCTTGGTAATCAACACTGATATGTAAATGCCGGCTGTGCAAGCTGTCATGCGACCCCTGCTAGCAGCTTTGCATTTTGTCTTTTCATCTCCCTGCACGATTCTCTTTTGCATCACTTTTCGGGTCCGAACTCGAACCCCATGCGTACGCATACTCCGTACGTCGAGTGACATACGAAGTAGTTATTTCGTGTTTGCCCTGAATTATTCCTGCAATTACCACCATCACGCTCGAGACTGCTGCACAACCTGCACTGACCTCCTGCAAGTCTCATCCTAGAACGAGGCGTCAAGTGCCCGGCAAACCAGGGTTCTCTTGCGCGCACCAATAGTCAGATCTGAGAAGCAATTCTGAGCCAATGCGGTTTCGGGATAGTTGGGTCATCAGGAGAGACAAGGCAGGCCAGTTGGCCAGGTCCTTGTCAAGACAATATTAGAAGAAGCAAGTCTTGAAATGCAGCTCTCGTTTAGTCGCAGCAGAGCCGCAGCGCCGCTCTGATGAGAAGGCTTTGATCTAACTACGGACCGCGCTGTCAATCTGCCGCAAGAAGCAAGCAGAGACAATTCTCGCTTCCTCAAGTCCCACCATGGAAGTGTCTTGTTGTTTCACTTTTCAGCCTTTCCCGCAGGACCATCCCGCCGCCTTCAGACGTTCCCGCAAAGGGGGCAGGGACTGCAATGTAACCCCTAACCTCAACAAGACGAAAAGGCTAGAACGAAAAATCGGACAAATTCATCAAATAATCTGGTGACGAGCAGATGGGGCTGAAACACTGCCGCCGGGCAAGACATCGATGTCACTGGGGTTATTATCCGAGGTTGCATATGTTCCAGATACGAGCCCCTGGTCCAAAAGAGCAATCCCCGGCCAGCTACATATTATCTGCGCCAAGCGGTCTCCTGGGTTAGCATTTGAAGAAAAAAAAAAAAAAAAGAAACCCAGTGTTTTTTCAAGTATGAAGCAAAGAAAAAAAAAAAAGCATAATCACTTGCCCATTATATGTCCATTATGATAATAGAGGGTAATAGACGCTACGCAGCCTCGTGTTCCGACGATGAGACGTGGGGAAGTCATGTTTCACTTCACAACAAGAGCCCATAGTGGATAAACGGTGCCACATGACCACGCTTCTACCCGCGGCTGTATCATCTCTCACTCCTTTTTGCCGAGACATCGTCCCCTCATTGTACTGGTAAAGGCAGTTTGATCCATGTGCTTGCAGGGAGCCACGGGGCATTCCCTATTCGTCTCAAGTGGTCTATCAAATCGTAAGCCCCGGACCAGAGTGTGGACAGCCTCTGAGTACTCATGTATACCTCATGAATTTGGTACTCATTTGCTTTGACAAGGGCTGGGTTAGTTGACTTTGCATTTATCAGCATTTTTGTGAAAATGGCAAGTCACATAAAGATACACAGACGGTTTTTGCTCTAGAAGTGCCATTCGACGTACTGGGAAAAGAGGCCTACTGTCTTGCAAAGGGTTACCAAGCTAGTGGCGTTTTGGCGATTTCCGCTGCCTGCATGCTTCCTCCGGCTATTTAGTCTGTAGAGCAGTTGTAATTTCCAAAGAAAAGGAAAAACATCATTGGGTAAGAAGTTGGCAGTTATGAAAGCTTGTTAGCGTCGGTGTATTCGAATCTCGAATACAGCGCACATGCATCAAGCTTGCTTCTCTTTATTAGACCCGATTCTCGACTAGTACGGGTGCTGTCGACTTGGCAGACACTATCGATAGGTCATTATAATTTAAGCCAAGCCATCGTGTGAAAGATTTCGTGCATGAAAGGTCAAAGCTACAGTAGCAAAGCATCGCTACCTCGTGGGCATGCGCAGGGCTACCCCACCGTGGGTGGTGTCGTCATGTTGAACTTCGCTTTGTACAGGCAGCACGCAGTTCAAAAGCATTGACTCCGGTATGACCGAGTAGAATATTCCTTTAGATTCTCAATGCGAGTGATTGTATACTGCTCAGACTTTCTGCCCAGTGCCGCCATATTGCAAGCTTTCAGCTGGACGCATCCATGAACTCTGAACTTTTCAGCACATGAGCTTCCTCCTGGACATCTCAAGCCATATTAACATGTTGGCTTGATCCAAATTATTCTAATTTGGAATAAATTGAGGCGCCCCCGCCTCCGAGTTCTTCATACAATGTCTGTGCTTGGAAATCGCATTGCCGTGGCTCGGCCATTGTTGCACTGCATACATACACGGACTTCTGTTAGCAGCAGGCTCGGGAGCTCAAGTCTATTTAGACTCAGACCCATTGTCTGATCGGCTGTGGCCGACACCATTGGGGTGTAGTCCTGTCAACGTTGCATTTCATGTTGCCGACACGAATTGTCGCATCATGAGTACTCAGTAGAGGCTTGCCACGTGAAGTAGATGAATGAAGAAGAAGAAGAGTAGAGCGAAACTTTGATACATGATCATGGCTCATATGACAGCAAGCCACAACTCAAAGTTTAGTGTATTCCTTTCCTGGGGGAGGGGTATTCTTCAATTTCTCTTTGCGCTTGAGCCGAACGTGGCGCATTGGCTTGGCTGCTATTGAAAGCTTACCTTGGAAGATGGCCAAATCAGATCTTTGTTTCGGCGTGTGGATATAGGTCGTAGCATCTGCACCAAATTTATGGCGCTCGATGTGGAAATGCAATCTATTCACCAGAGCGCAATGAAGCTGCACACCGACAGCATCAACAGTCCGTGTGCTTGTTTCAAGTCTATGAACTAGACCCGCACAGCACAACTGCTTGAACAATTGTGATTTCCTGATGCAGCAAATATAGTGGTCAAGGCCCCGGATGCAATTGAGTTACAAGGCTTGCGCGGATGGCAGAATTGCACGGCTCTTAGGCTTCTTAGCCTGGCTTATAAGCGTGAAAGTAAATAAGCTGCATGAAGATATCGTGCAAGTTGGCCGTGCGTTGTGATTGGCCAGTTGAAGAGAGATCTTCTGGTACACTTGTTGACAGATCAAAACAGGAATGTACACTGACTACTTGATTTTTTGGCGATTGTTCTCAGCATGACATTTATTCAATTTCTTCCTACACAGCTTTTTTATTATTAAATACTTCTTGAACGGTCTCAGGCATGAAGTAAATGCCTGGCGGTGAAAGGCCCACTAGCCACAATAGTGGATGTGTCATGTGGCGCGAAATTGCTTGAGGGAGCGACGCCACAGCTGCAGTCCGCCATCGAGAGACTCGCTAAGCATACCTTGCAGCTCCTCGCAAAGTGATTTGAGGTGGACTTCAAATATCCATACGAAAAGTTTGAGCGTCAAAGAAAGAACGGTGACCTCCGGTGGCGTAATCTCTATGCTTTCCGTAGAGGCCACCCGTTGACTGCAGCTGCCGCCCAACCCATAGGGAGGAAAGGAGAGAGTCAGGGATCAACTGCCAACAGAGCAATTCAGCATCTCGAAGACAATGGACAACCGTGCTGGTAGCGACGACGACGACGTTTCGCGCATCGACTTCGCATCGCAAGAGCACGCTATGACCGGAGCTGCTGCCAAAGCAGAGGCATCTGAGGACTCGACCCCAGAATTCCAGGATGCACCCCACAGTCACGAGCAGCACCATGACGAGCCTGGACTGCTGAGGCATTCTGATGCGAACGGAGATGATGCAGAAGCACTCGGCACCATTTCGAATGGCACAGTCAGCAACAGCCAGCGTGGCCACGGTGGCGATGACCAGGCCTACCTCCAACGACCACTCGGCCCAACGAGAACGCCGTCTAGCACATATAACCCCTCGACTTCTCGAAGGCCACGGCCGCCACAGACGGTGCCATCATACGATGGCACAGTCCGATCCTCTTCCGCAACGCGCCCGTGGCCGAGTGATAGTAGATTTCGGGCCCAGGAACGAGCCTATGTGCAGAAGTTACGGCAAGAATATGATGGCGAATATTTCAATCACTACGATGATATCGGGAATGACTCGGACTCGGATGGAGAGACTCCCTCTACTGAAAGCCCTTTCGATGATCGGCTTGACCAAGAAACAATCATGTTCTACGGAAACGACAACGTACTACCTACCGAAGACGAATTAAAGGACCCCGAGAGTCGAGAAAGACTCGAGTGGCATGGCATGCTCGAGGCTGTTCTGACTGGCGATGTGGTGCGGCAAGAGAAAAAGAGACTGATTGGCTCCTCCGAGCAAGCTGTTGGAAAGACTGGCCACAAAACAGAACTCTGGCTTGGCGTACGCAGCAAGGTGTGCGGTAGACATATTCCAGTGCAGAAACGCATTGTTGAGGAGGCGCGCGCCGCTTTAGATCGGACCCTCGACGAGATTATCAACTTCAAAGTCAAGGGTGAAAGCGAGGCAGGAAAGAATCCTTATGAGCAGGTCCGCGACATTGTCGCCTCCATCGAAAAGTGCGAAAGCCTTTATCCTTCTTGGCAGTCCCTCGTCGCCGAACACCCAACGGCAGGCTCACCACATTTCAGCGAAGCTTACGAAGCAATCATGTCTTGGTACAATACCAATGAAATGATCAACACTGAACTGTTTATCCTCAAAAAGTGGGTTGGCAACGACGAACTCGACTTTTCTCGCACCAAACAGCGATCACCAGCTGTGGACGGCATCGCACCCGACGAAGCTTCTTTCCTGGATCGACTCATGAAGGAAGACGGTCTGCAGTCATTGCATGACGAGGAGGACGAAGAGTCTCCCAAGGGCATGCTGCCACCCATTGCAAAAGTCATTCTCAAGGCCAAGGAGACCTTTATTCTCAACTCTGGACCGTTCCAGAAACGGCATTTGCCGCCCTATTTGGATGAACTTTTGACGCTCATCAGCTTCCCATCTAGACTCATCGAAGAGATTACGCGAATCCGTCTTGCTTACGCTAGGAGAGTTAAGGAGACCGCCCAGCAGAATCCACTGATGCAGGATCAGATGATCTCACAATTCCAAATGCTGCTCAAAGCAGCTATCCGAATTAAAAAGCAATATCTGCAGATAGAGAAGCCAGAGCCGGGATGGGACCTCCCTCCATGCATTGATGAATCATTTGATCAAGTCGTGCTGGAGGCGTTGAAGTACTATTTCAAAATGCTCAACTGGAAGCTCACAGGAAACAGGAACACGTTCAAGGAAGCCGAACTGTTGTTTCAGGAGTGGGAGTTTGCAAACGATATCGGCAGGCAGCTACAGCGAGGCCACATTGAGGTGGCCGAGCAGTTCAGCTCGCTGACTCTGAAGGCCATTAGCCGTCTCAGCCAGACTTTTGAGAGAGAGTTGCAGGCAAAATCGGGTGAATCAGCGGCCGAGATGACGAAGCGATACAAAGCTTGCCTCGACTCTGTCCGCGTGCGGCAACGAATGCTGCAGCGTTTTTCGCGCATGCTAAGCGACAACTACGAGCATGCGTCGGACTACAGTATCTCCTACTCGCCTCAAAATATATCCAAGTTTTTCGACCAACTGGCAGCCACTGGCCATTTTCGTCTGCAGACTGGTGTTTTTGAAAAGGATGGCATTCATATTATAGCGTCCCCAGACTTGCATGAGAGGCTTGACGATATCCAGGAATTGATGGCGATTACAAAGAGGGACACCTTTGATGAGAAATCAAGCGTCGGGTATATCCTCGTTGTGAGACCCGAGGAGACCTTGAGTTGGTTTGGCGAGGTTATCAACCTGTCACTGAAGACCCAAGTCATCGACTTGAAACGCGGCCAGCTTCGTCTTTGCGCAACCAGCTCACAAGCTCTGCCAAACGCCAGGATCAAATTTCTGGACGCTGTCGACATGCATGTTGATCTTTTACAAGAAGCGAGATCCAACATTCACAAGGTTAACCAAAAACTGACAGACATTCGGAAAGTCACATATAAGCTTTCCAACACATTCATGGATAGTGTCGAAACGATCCGAAGGCAGGCAGCTGGAAAAGACTGCCAGGAGCTTATTCAGACCTGCTTCGTGTTTGCAACAGAATTTGGTCAGCGATCACTACTCTACATGGACAGCAATAGGCGCCAGATGAATAATCTGAAGCTCACCAAGCTCGCACTTGACTGGGTCAGCTTCATTTGCGACGACTGTATTGCCTCGGACAGGAAGACTTTCCGTTGGGCAGTGGTTGCGCTGGAACTGGCCATGGGCATGACACGTGGACGACACATTCTCGCACTTGGCGAGAGGGAATACTCCATCTTGCGAACCAAAGTGGCTGGTTGCATGTCAGTACTGATCTCGCACTTTGACATTATGGGCGCGCGTTCGAACTTGGCTGCACAAGCTGAGAGAGAAAGGGTTGAGGCAATGATGGGCCAGTTCAAAAAGTTGGACAGCAAGAAGATGCTTGACGATGAGGAAGCAGCCAGATGCAGAGCTCTGCAACGGATGGAGTTTCTCGACAAAGTTGACGAAATCCGTCTTGAAAAGGAGGCCGAGCGCCGATCATTAGGTCGCGTCCTGGAGGCGAATAACGAAGCCGACCGGTCGCTGGCCTATTTATCGTCGTCGTCTATGAATGTGACTATGCGCTGGCAGCAAGGGCACTTTGTTGGGGGTGGTACTTTTGGTAATGTCTACGCTGCCATGAACCTTGAATCGGGCCAGCTCATGGCTGTCAAGGAGATTCGACTACAAGATCCCAAGCAAATTCCGACGATTGCGGAGCAAATCCGCGATGAAATGGGCGTCTTGGAAGTTTTGGACCATCCCAACGTTGTAGCCTATCACGGTATCGAAGTCCATCGTGACCGTGTCTACATCTTTATGGAATACTGCTCTGGGGGCTCCCTTGCCAACCTGCTCGAGCACGGACGAATCGAGGACGAGCAGGTCACGACTGTTTATGCATTGCAATTGCTGGAGGGTCTCGTTTATCTGCATGAAAGCGGCATCACCCATCGCGATATTAAGCCAGAGAGTATGTATTTGCACATGATGCCGAGTAGCAATGACTAACGCTGCCAACAGATATTCTGCTTGATCATAATGGCATCATCAAGTATGTCGATTTCGGCGCTGCCAAGGTCATTGCCAGACAGGGCCGAACACTGGCCCAGGATCTGCATGCAACGAAGCCAAACAAATCCATGACAGGCACACCCATGTACATGTCGCCGGAAGTAATCAAAGGAGAATTATCCGAGAATTCCGGAAGGGCGGGAGCTGTGGATATCTGGTCACTGGGATGCGTCATTTTGGAGATGGCCACCGGACGACGACCATGGGCGAACCTTGACAACGAATGGTCCATCATGTACAACATTGGCCAGGGCAACGCCCCGGCGCTCCCTACCACGGAGTTTCTGAGCCCGCAGGGTCTCGACTTTATGAAGAAGTGCTTCATTCGCGACCCGAGCAAGCGATGGACCGCTGTCGAGCTGCTCCAGCACGAATGGATCATGGCTATCCGCAGCCAAGTGGTAGAGTCGCCGACGCCCAGCGAGATGAGCTCGTCGGCCGCGACAACACCCTACTCGATGCATCAGTGACGAAAACGGGAAGATTTTTTGCTATATATAATATAAGACGTATACGAAGTGGCGAGCGCCGGGTAGAATTAGGCTACATTCTCACGATGGCAGGAGAAGGCAGTCTGCGGTGCCATGTAATGAACCTTTTATAATGACAATTCTATTATTCTTCATGAATTGGGATTCATTTTCTCCTCGTTCTTCGTTGAGCGACATTTCGCTCGCAGCTGCATGCCTACATGATGCATGATTCTAGATGCGGTAGTGCGACATGAGAACTTGTGGCTAAGCTCTTGTGAGCCCATACGAGAATGTGTAAGCCGGGCATTTGATGCAGTGATGTGGCGGCCTGGGTTTCGGCGTTCTGTGCGGAGGGCTCACCGAAGAGGGGGGAACTGGGTCTCTGCCCCCGCAAAAACGGTTGACTTTGACAAGACTGTTTCTGTTTTTGTTCTTTTATTTTCTTCTGAAAAAGCCATTCGACTTGCTGCACTTGGCCGGGTTTTTTTCTTACATTATTCTTCTTTGAGACGATCCATTAAGAATTCCATCTTACACGGCAAAAGTCCAAGATACGGGTGCCGGCATCTCGGCCGCCCCCACATTCCCCAGACTTTCCCTTCAACTCTGCTTCTTCCACCTCCTCTTCCTCCTCCTCTTCTTCATCTTCATTCTTCCTTTCTTTCCCCACATCTTCACTTGAAATTTCTCTCAGAAGCAAGTTACCCAAACTCTGACGCCCCCCGCCATGGCCCCTCTCCCCTCCTCACCACCTTTACACGCCAGCTCCGACGCCGCCGTCGTGGCCGCGACCTGCGCCGCCCACGGCCTCTCGCTCTCCGAGTTTGCCGCGCTGCGCTCCGCGGCCGTCGCCGCCAAAACCGTCGCCTACTGCCCATACAGCCGCTTCCGCGTCGGCGCCGCCTTACTTCCGGCAGACACGGACAACAGCAACAGCAGCAGCGCCGGCGGTGATGGAGCGCCGGCGGTGATTAAAGGCTGCAACGTGGAAAATGCGAGCTACCCAGTCGGCATGTGCGCGGAGCGCGTGGGGTTTGGCGCGGCGGCGGCGCAGGGCGTGACGAGGTTCAAGGCGTTGGCGGTGGCGACGGACATTTCGCCGCCGGCGAGCCCGTGCGGCATGTGCAGACAGGCGTATGTTATCCTTTTCGCTTTCCTTCGTCTTTTTTTCAGTCATCTCAATCGAGAAGAAGAAGAAGAAGA